GCGCAGGTGAACTGGTGTTCGATTGCCAACTAGGTAAGCTATCTGAGCGAATACTAAAATGATTTCTAAAAGATGGGTTCGGGGAAGGCTCTGTTTATATAGCCCTTTTTCTCTAGCGCCGTTGCCATGTGATTGCCACGTTTATGTGTTATTCATACACGGGGTAATTGTGGGGTTGTTTGCCGTTGCCTAGGCAATTGTTGTTTACCGATCACCTTGGCCCGTATGATGGCCGATCGCCTCGGTCTGTATGATGACCGATCGCCTTGAGAAGGTTGGACGTAAGCCTGTTCTACGCCATCACACAGAGCCTTTCATTCTTCAGAGTGTGCTGTTGAAGCTTGATCATGAATTTCTTGCAGTAACTCAGCTATTAAAGTTTTCTTTTTCTGAATTAGTATCACTAGTCTTTTATTGTACTGTAGCATCTTGTCTTTCATTGTATAGGAACTATTTTCATCATCTGTCTGCTGCTGCAGAGGCTCAATTGAGATGACTATCTTGTTTAAAGACACTATGCACTCAGCAATATTTTCTTTCTCTGAGAAGTTGATATTAGTAATATCTGTAGAGAAAGTAATCTGAGAGTTAAGAGTCTCTGATTCTAGAAGAATTTACATACAGTTATTCTGTTGTCTTCTAATCTGCTCAGATCTGCTTAGTGTATTTGCTAGCAGATTGATCTTGTTTAATTGATACTTAATCTCAAAGTAGAAGTGGAAAAGGAACTCTGTCCAGTGAGCTTGATATGCATTTAGCTTCTTGATAGTCATGAAGTATTTCAATACATGATGATCAGTGAGAATCTTGAATCATTTCTTCTGTTGTAGTCTCTCAAGCTCTACTCACTATTCTTATAAAACTCAGACCACTGTCAGCATTTTCTTATCATGAACTTCAAAATTAAGCTCTGTGTCATTCATTGACTTTGAATAGAAGACTACTGAATGTCAAAGATTATTTTCTAATCTTTGATTTAGTATCTCAGTTACTACTTTATCAGAGATATCAGTCTTAATATAAGTCTCTCATTCAGAGTCATAGTAATGTAGTGTTGAAGTTTTCATCAGCTGTCTCTTCAATTTTCCAAAAACTGATTGATATTCTGATGTTTACACAAATAATATAGTCTTTTTTGTCAACTGATACAGTGATTTTGCATTTCAGCTGAAGTTTTTAATAAATCATCAGTAGAAATTATTAAATTCTAGAAATGACTGAACTTCTTTAATTATAATAAGAGACTATCATCTCACAATGATGACTGTTTTCTTCAAATCTATCTCAATTTCTTCTGTACTGATAATGAACTCTAAGTATTTTATTCTTTGAACTGTAAACTCATATTTCTGAATACTGACTTGCAAATCAGCTGTCTTTAGCTAATCTAGCACTGAATTTATTTGCTGCTTGTACTTCTTCAGATTCTTGCTATAGATTAGAAGATCATCTATGAATGCTATCATAAACTTATTCAGATAGTCAAAAAAAATATTATTAATAAATCATTGAAAAAAGATAGAGATATTTATAAGATCAAAGAGAATTATATAATATTTATATATTCTATAGTGAGTTCTAAAGATGATCAGATTCTCAGACTCAGAGTTCATTTAGATATGATAAAATCTCTGCTGAATGTTCAGCTTTATAAAGTATTTTGCTTCATTGAGTTGATTCATCAGCTCATCTATTAGAGGTAAAAAATACTAATCTTATTTGATTATTGCATTCAGCTTGTGAAAGTTAATATAGAATTATAACTTTTTTTCATTACAGACAATCAGAATTGAGAAGGTATAGAAAACTGAACTTGAAGTAACAAAGCTTTTTGCTAGATTGACTTTGAGATAGATCTTCACTATCTTTAGTTTCTCTATATTCATCTTGTATAAAGATGCATATTCAATGCTCTGAATAAGATCAATATCAAACTATAACTTTATTTTAAATTAATATTCTTTTGTAGAAGAAATAATTTATCTAATACTTTCTTTGAGAAATAGTTCTTCTGATTTTTTAATTATTCTGATAAGTTACTGATCAGTTTTTCATCAGACTCATTCTCAGCTTTCATAAAACTTTACTTCTTTTCAAGCTGTTTATTAATTTTATATAAACTAATTATAAAGACTGTTAAATTTCTATTCTTCATATAATTATAAAAGAAAGTAGTTTTAATGAAGTTCATATTCATTATCTGTAATACTATCTCCTCTCAAGTCAATCTCTGCCTTGTTTTAGATGTCATGACTAAGCTAGTCTCTTTCAATCTGCAGAGCTGAGTCTAATGCTTCTATCCAATCTTCTTGTTCAGTTTGATCTCTCTTTATTCTACATTCATCTGATGCTCAGACTTAAAGTTTAGATACTTCAGTATTGAGTAAGATACTATCTTCAACATCAGCTTCATCCTCTCTTCAGGGATAGACTATTCACTCAGTTAAATCAAATGTTAATTTTTAACATCAAGTCATATATTCTGTGCTGTTAATCCCTTTTATATTAGAATGACAGAGTGCTGATCTAGATCTGTTATCAGGAAGAAAATATTTTGAAATCTCTAGTCATTCACTCAGAGATTTCAAGTCAATATGCAGTTTATCACTTCACTAGAAGCATCATTATATCTATTTATATAGCATTTGAATGAGAGTTCTTAAAACTTTCTATTGAAGAATCTCATCAGTTTTATGATATATCAGATATCAATAAAATTCACATCATTCACTTTAATATCAGTAAGATAATTTGTAGAAGTAGCAATTTCATTATAGACTAACTTGATTGATACACTAAAGCTTTTTCTCTTAATCAAATTCTTATATCAAATCTCTTATAGACTATTAAACTATATAAAATGAAGTCTTCTTTCAGACTTACTCTTTTTTTGAATCTGCTGATGACTCAGAAGTATTATTTTCTATAAGCTTAGTGATCATCTGTTGAAACTTTTATTTCATAAGATAGTTCCTTATAATATGAACTTTTTTCTTGTAGTAATAACATTGAATGTCTGAACAGATGCTCATAGTTTTCTTCATGATAGAGGATTTTATAATGAAGATATCAGAGAAAGTTTAACTATTAAAAATTTATAAAATGTTTTACTTAAAAGTATTAGATTCATTTTCTCATAAGCTTTTAGACTTCTGAGTGACATTGATTGTCTGAAGAATATAAGCTATCTGAGCATAAATCTTCTGAAACTCAGTATATATATTACTGATTGTATTGACTACTGCTATTATTCTCTGAAGATTAAAAAATAGTTTATTATTAAAGTTTATCTTATAGTTCTTCTTGATATTCTTAATCTCATCTGTTAAATATAAAAATTTTATGATGAATTCATAATAATTATTCTCATTGCATATAATCAACTTGTGATAATCACTATTGATATTTTACAACTTGTTAGCATTCTCATATATTGACTTGAGATACTCAAATATTTCTTTTATAGTTTAGTATTGGTTGAAGTGATTCTCTTTTATATAAGATGTGATGTGATGTGCTACATCTTTGTCAGTTCAGTTTTCAATGTACACAATTCTCATATGTTTAATAGAGTAGTAATCAATGTTCTCTCAGAGTTTGTTCTTCATCTAATAGAGTCAGTGTTCAAATTTCAGCTCCTTGCTGTCAGTGAGATGTTTTAAATCATCAATCTTGACTGATCTTCTGGCAGTCTTAAAGGAAATGATATCTCAACTTACTGCTTAATTACTGACTATTATATAAATCAGAATAAGATTAAATTCATCATATTCAACAATTAATTCATCAATTTGACTTTGCTTGATAGTGGTCTAATTGATACTATTGTCTCATTTTATCCTCAGATGCATGATTGTATCCCTTAACGTTTTTTCATCATTAAAAATATTATTAAAGATTATCATCAACTTATTATAAATATGATTACTGTCTGAATGAATTACCTCTTTAAATTTCTCAATTGAGATATATGATTGATCAGTCAGTCTTGTTAGAATGTATCATCAGTTCTTTTGACTCCTTCCAAGGGGTTAAGAGCCTGTGATAATCATTTGATGTTAGATTGAGCTATTGTCTTCAACAGTTAATTTAATATATTGTTAGACTCTCAACTAATAGATTCTAATTCAACTGAGACACTCAAGTTTTTCACTGAAACCTGAGTGAAAAGGTAGAAGGAAATTTTAGTATTATGTTAGGAAATGAATGTGAGCTGTCTGAGATAGAATCTCTCTGCGTTGCTAACTGCTATATAACAAAATACTAAATTGGTTAAGGAAAAAGAGTGTCAGGGTCTGCTCAGATTATAAACAGCCCACATGATCACATGACTGGATCACGACCGATCCGCTAGGTTACATGTGGGGTGTGATCACGTGATGGAGATAAACCTAGCCCCGGCGCCGAGCCTAACAAGAACTTTAATTTAGCTTTTCATAATAATTGATAAAATTTCATTCTCAGCAGTCATTAATTGTTGAAGAAAATTTAAATTTGAACTTAATTTTTTTATTCAGAAAGAAGTAAATTGATCATATTTTATAACAGTAGTAATTTGTGATGACTGCTCTCACATATTCATAGAGAGAATTCACTGAATAAAAAATTCTTCCTCTATAAGGCTGAGTTTTCAGTTCTTTGATGAGTATCAATATGTGCAATATAATCATTGGCGTAGTGAAGGGCATCATACAACTTTGCTACAGTTCATACATTAAATCTGATCTTTATCAAGTGCTTGAATTGTTAAAAGAAGTATTCCTTCTTGAAAGAAGACTCTATGATTTTGCATTGTGATATTTTTAATTGTTATATCAAAAGACGTGTAGATTGTTTGAGAAGTGGCTCACTCGCTTATGTGGCTCGCTCGCTTAACTATAGATTACGTTAGGGAGAGCGAGAAATTGAAAACTGCTTCATATTATAACTACCATATGGAGAGGAGAGTCCCTTAACTATTCAAGCACGAGAACTGGGAGATTTTTGACGAATCATTGAAGATGTCTTCGGGAGGGGTTGAACGATCTAGGCACACTCTAGACTTCTGGACTGGGCGGTACATAGGCCATTCCGCCAGCCATGCAGACCAAGACCGCCATGACCTGGCTGTTCTAACTGTTCGTGGCGTCCGATCTACTGCACGCCTGCGCCAAAACCCCGTCTGTTGGATTTAAGGGTGTCAGACAATCTGCAGAGCTTCTCTTCACGAAAACGTCTCTGCTCAGTTCTGCCCCTCGACCAGTCGCCATTATTCGGTGGGCTGGATAGGTTTAGAGCCAAGCGCCGCCATATGCAGCCCGCGAATGTATAGACAACCTTGAACTGGAATTTGGCGTCTCTTAGAGAGCGGGGGTGGGACAAGAAGCGTAATATTTTTCTTTTCTGATTGATTAAATAGTTGGATTTCACGCGATTCCCGCAGTGGATTATTGTCCAGAACCACTGAGCATTCAACCCGTTGCATGGCCCCAAAAGCTGATGTTCCTCCGAAACATGATTTCAAGGGTGCCTACGTCAAGAATTTTACGTATGATGTGGCAAGCTGTTGCGGAAGGTTTTGAGCTTCTACCCAATCGGTTGCCAATCCATGAAATAATTTTCTTTTCTTTATACAGTCTTTCGTGCTCAATTCCTCCCCTTGTTTCGTCATAGATTTCCCTGAAGGCCCTTTTCATTTTGCACGGATTTATTTTTATTTTTATTTTTTTTTTTTGGATGCTTCTCGAACTAATATCTCGTTGGCTTCTTCTCCACTTCGAAATACGCGGCTCTATTTTGTCCCACCCTCCAAATGTTTACAACTCGAATATATACATACATACACACATATATAAACAGTGCCCTTCATCACTTGCTTGACCTGAAATTTAAGAGCTCTTGCCATCTGACAAGGTCCAACTTTTGATGGTTTGAAAATTAAAGGCACTTTTTGTCGAACATTCGCTTATTCCTCTCCAGTATTCATCAAATGTTCACAGAACTAGGAATTTATATAAACCTTTGAAAAGAGATCCATCTTCGGCTATTCAATCGAATCTTGCGTTATGGGTGTCACAAAGAGAGTGCTCAAAAAGGGCAATGGAGTAGACAAGCCATCAAAAGGCGACGAAGTGGTGATCAACTACAAAGGGTGCCTTTATGACCCGACTGCCGCTGATAGGAACTACATGGGAGACGAGTGAGTATTCGCAGCTCACTTTGAAACCGCTGTTTTATCAAAGGAAAAAAAGGAAGAAACGATGAAGAAAACGGTCTATTTGCTGAATTCTTTTTAAATTCGGTGCAGATTTGATTCTTCCAACGATAGAGGGAACTTCACAACCACAATCGGCATTGGGAAAGTTATTCAAGGTATTTATTAATACCTTTTCTACACGGTATACGGTGTAGCCAACATCCCGCTGGTCACACTTGCAATATGAGGCTATCCGCCTATTATTTGGACGTAATGGTACCAGATCTGACGAATTCCCGACTAACCATTCCGTCTGTACTAAGGTTGGGACGAGGCTGTTGTTAATATGAGCCTTGGTGAAAGGAGCATCCTGACCATCAGTGGGTAAGTCAATGCTTTTTCATTCAGCCCTTTCTCCAACTTTCCTGAGACTCAACGATATTTCATCGAATTGGCGTTTTATGGAAAGGGAACTATTATACTAATCATATCTGCTTGCACTTTATTCTCCAGTGACTACGCGTATGGTGAGCGGTATGTTACCTTTCAAATTTATTTCCCGACCCCTGTACAAAAGAAATTGGCCGTTCATTCCCCAATGTTGTTCATCATATATATTTTGCGTTATAGACAGAACTGGAGGACTATATGTTCAAAATCTTCCTAGATGCAAGCTGCTATATGGGAGCTTTATCTTCCAAAACCGTCCCGTTGTCAGACATATATCACTGACTTGAGCCGTTATCACTGGCTGCTCTCTAGTGGTTTTCCTGGACTAATCCCGCCCAACTCAACGCTGGTGTTGTAAGTACTTGATAGCTGCCAGGTTATTTTTCCTCCTGTTATTTGTCACTTTTCCCTTGCCTGTTGAACAAACCTTCATGCATGGTTTCACCGCATTTCGTGCCTGAATGATTTCCTTAAATTGCCTAAGTCTCTGGTTTCATCATCAGGTTGCTTCCCTCCCACGTATCACAGCACAGGCTTTCGTCGATGCAGCTTAAACCTGGCTGCCGCCAAAGTTCCCGTTCATTCTGCACACCTTGATTTGTCAAACATGCAAAATTGTCTTCATACTACTTTGCTACTGCATTCCATCTCTTAGCGTCGCCGACCAATTAAACAAGACCTCGCTTACTCTGATCTTTCCTCACAGTGATGTCGAACTCAAGGGAATCAATCATATGCGAGCATAGGGGACACGCACCGGGTATGTGCACTAATGGCCAGCAAGAGAGGATGGTGTGTTGGTTTGACGAGAGAGTGCCGCCAAATTTTTAATTCTCGAACATTGCCGAAGTTGTTCCTCACCACCAACCGTCGGTCCACATCATTCATCCACCTCCCTCCTTGCAACATTCACGCCATCTTTGCGTCGCACCATCTCATTCGCGGTTCCATTCCTGCCTTGTCCGTCACCCATTCCTCTTGTGTTCCTTAATCTATGTTCTCTACTCGAAATCAACGAAAGAAAGGAAAAAGAATTAATATCCTTTGGCTAGAGGAGCACATCTGCAGGATAGTCAAACAAGAAGACGAGCGGTTAGGGGGATATGTATGCGTCAACTTCGTCTAAAAAGAAGAGCGTCAAGCATGGCAACCTCGGCTCAATTCCTCTTTACTCTCTTTGCTTCCTCCCCTGATTCCATCAATGTCAGCCACTTCCCCACTTCTAGACGAATCGTCCAAGTTTCTGTCGTGGGTGATTTTTTTCTTTTTTCTTTCTCCCTTTTTATTTTATTTTTATTTTATTTTATTTTTCTTTTCCCCGAAGGGGTACCACCTTGCCATATAGTTAAATGAAGACACGAACAATAAGGTGTTTTTGTTTTTCAAAGAAGCAAAAACATATTACAGGGAAAGCAAAATTGGGATAGGGGATTCGTCGATTTTCCTTTCCATCGTTTCCTTTCGACTTCTTTTGAACTACGTTTTATGACCTTATAATAATGTCTGGCCTTACGTTTTATGCTTCTCGTTACGCCTTATGCTGCTTAATGTCCTCCATGTCTTGTTAACATTCATTTTACGTTCATTCCGTTACTCCTCTGGCCTTTTCCTCCTCTCTTTTTCAACGTGTTTAAAACTACATCATTGCATGTACGTCTTTTCTCCCACTACAGCAACATATCTAGAATGTTGAGCAGACCATCTGGTCTGATCTGGATCGGATCGGATTGAATTAGTATGGTTTGATATGATATGGGTAACCTCTTATCAGTTAAAATGATTTTGCGAACTCATATGATGCAAATCATACGCCGGCGTTCATTTTCTCCTCTTTATACACGCCTTTCTGGATACTACATGAAGCACTCTTTCCTTAGTTCTTCACTTCAATTTGATAATACATAATCATTCTATTAAGTTGTTTCATTTGATATAGTTATCTATTTCATGACTTCTTTAACATATTATGTACTCATATGATAAGAAATTGTAAACTCAGTCTATTTAAATTATAGAATATATATAATTATAATATAATTATACTTTTACTATTTAAATTATAAAAATATAGATTTACATGAAATGATATTATTTTATAAGCAAATAAATAAATTTTCAATTAGTGACTTAACAATAAAGAGAAATTTATATAAATTCTTCTATTTATTCAATATATATAGAAAAAAAGTTAAGTGTCAATAGCTCAGTCTAGAGTCAAGATGATAATAAAATAAAAGCTTCAATTCATCTATCTAACCAGGCAGCTGTGATGAGAATACTAAACTGGGAACTAAAACATAAAATGAACAAGCAGCTGAATATAAAAAGGTGATTGAAAATCAGAGTAAATTAATTTTCAAAGCAGAGTGGAGTAAATCAATCTTAATCTATATTACAAGCAGCTGCGCTGTAACACAGGTCTTATATTTACGTTCATGTCCATGTGAGTACGGCAGTGTTGTGAACCAACAGGGCATCCCTCGGAATCATTGGATAAGGATGGCGGATGATAAAGGAACTAGGGTTTCGGACGGAACAACCCTAGGTTCCGGGACTAACCCCAAGGGAAAGGTCACGTGATCGATAGATTGATATGTTCGGTAGAACACCGTCTATCAATCTATCGGATAGATTGATATAACGGGTAGCGGATCATCTATTGATCTATAGGATCTATCAGGAGGTCTCCTCATGTATATAAACACGCTCATTACCCTTAGGATCAAGAGGCCTATCTTCTTGATCACGATCAATTCACTTATTCATACTATTCTACTTCCCGTTCGGAGCCCTCACCCTTTACTGTCTTTATCAGCGTCTACCTGATATTACACTACACTCTTACCTGTCATAGCTTTGACTCTCTACCCACAGGTGTCCGTCTCACCCAAGCCCTACGCACGCCTGCCCCAAGCCGTAGCTATCGTTGGTTATAAGGATCCTCTAATTGATGTCCTTACTACTCGTGATAGTGGCACTACCCCCTGTCCTAGTTATCAAGCTTACTACGGCAGCCTATAGTGACATTTGGGTCAAATGGGTTTTTTTGATGGTTTTTATACTAGTGTTACCATGAACACGCACCAATCATATTCATTTAATTTGTAATCAAATAGAGCTTGTTGATTATAGCTCCTCTGTGTAAGAAAATTTTGTGATCAAGGCACACTAACTCTATTGATTACATGAGTGACAAGAATAGGGGTGAGAATAGAGGTAAGAATAGGGGTAAGAATAGGGGCAAGAATAGATCTGTGAGAAATAAGACTTATTATGAGAATAATAGCTAGCAAAATAATTCTTCACATTAGTATCAATCTTTACAGCGTATACTAAAATCTATCAAACATTCTACTAATCACCCTCAACTCTGAGGTCAAAAGAACCTATCAATCATTCTATCAATCACTCTCGACGCTGATGCCGAAATCTTGTCCCATTTGCAGGTGGGTCAAGATAGTTTGATTGTGTTTCAATTTCATCAGAATGACTCTTTTCCATCTCTGTCACAGTGTTTTCCATCTCCTTCTTTATATTTTCCTCCTCTGTCTCTGATTCCAGCTTCTCCCACTTGAACAATAGATCCTTTTCAAGCTTCATTGTCTTCAATTCATTAACTTTGTCTTCAGATTTTGTAGGGATTGGGGACGGCCGTCTTCATTTGATAAGATTTAGAATGGGTAAATCGACTGAGAAAGCACGTTCGCGTTTGATCACTGATATGGAGGTATTCTCTTCTTTGACTTTGATATCTGGTGATTTGACTTTGATATTCTTCAGTTCTGATGGTTGTTTGATGGGGTGATTGGACTCATCATAGGTAACAAGACAAATGTGAATAATTGTAGTTGTTGAGGTTGATGAGTGCACTTTCTTAAATGAACTCAATAACTTTTCCAAATCCAACATCCAAACATCAGGAGTGAGCATAACTGCACCATCCTTTCCTGTAACTGAGGCAGAAATGAATACATCAACTGGAGAAACAACTGTAAGAATATTCTTCCAGGCTGTATCAAGTCTGGCAGTGATGATTTCTAGAAAATCCTCCATTGTGAAAAACACACAATCTGAGTAGATTTCATTTTGAATTTTTTGAATTGACTCCCAGTTATAGTGTGTTTGTAGTTTGGCATCATTGTATTCACACTTCCAAATATGAATAAGAATTTTGTAGGATTTTCACAAGGAGGATAGTTGATTCAGCTCAGGTTTGATCGCAGGTTCTTTTATAGGTGATGTACGTTGAACTGGTGTACCAGCATTGGGGGTCATTTGTTGAACTTTTTGTGTTTTTTGAATGGCCAGTTGACGTGCTCGTTGAGGAGGTCCAGGATCAAGAATTGTGGCAGAGAGTGACGGTGTCAGAGCTGGAGGACTGGGACTATCTTCAATGACAATGATTTCATCATTTATTGAAGAGATGATGGAGGATTTTGGTGTGGATGGATTGGCTTTGCCACAATAAGGACAGGCAGCTTCACTATTACAGTGTGCTTCATGAGAAAATCCAGGACGATTGGGGCAGAATGGTGTCCACATAGTGAAGTAAATCAAGATGATAATAAACAACAAAGAGAAGAACAGGAAAATTTGAGTGTGTGTATATATATATCTGTTTTTGAGGGTAAGAGAGTGAGAGATTGTATGTGTGTGTGTGTGGATTTCGGTAACCTGATTAGTATAATGATTAGTATAATAGCTAACTGCTTTGGGAGTGTTAGACATGATGAGTAATATTATAAAATATCTTCAAAGAGTTAGTTACAGTGTACACACTACAGAATATTTCTGTATCAATTAAGAAAATTGTTTATTGATATATATTTTAATACTGTCAATAACTTTAGATTGGAATATATAACTTTATATGATTATAATTTTCAAGTTATAGAGTGTTTGAGTATATGAATACATATATTCTGTGTGTCCGGTGTACATACATTGTATATATATATATATATATATCTAGTTCAAAATTCATGTAGCACTACAATATAAAATTTATAGAATAATTGTTATAGTAACAAACTTAAAAAGTATATGTCAGGCCTATCCGCCTTCTTACGTAATCCGCACTGTATATAACTTCCGCGTAGCTAGCGATCGCCTCATAATCAATCAAGCAATCTATCCTTGACAGGTTATGAGACCCGTTTTGCGCAAATAACTGCCAATTCAGGGAATTCTTGCCAAATATAGCGTATATTAATCACTGCTCACTTCATTCAATATAATATTGTCTTATTTTATGTCAATTGATCAATTTGGCACACTCTTATATTATTATTATTTTTTCTGTGTTCAATCTGTTTGCTTAGTGGGTGAAAGAAAAATCTGCAACTTGCTAATTTTCAGCAACTGATCGCACAAGAACGCGTCAATCTGCTCAATCAAGCTTATAGGCAAGAATCTCACCAAATAAGATTACTCCATTAGAAAGAAGATTAATATGACATGGCAGAACATATGATGACTTACTCACAGTCGCGATCAAGCCAATCCAGCCAATCTGACCAATCTGAAAATGACCAGGGGGCCCTGAGCTCACTGACCCCCCCAGGGGCATTCAGGAGTTCCAATATTGGACCCCCTGGAACGCCCAATTGGCAAGCTGGGCTGATTACAGCCCCTACCACGGTGAGGCCGGTCCGCCTACACTGTGTCAAATATGCCAACCTGACTTCTTCAGAAGATGGGATGGAGATGTCTGCGGTGACCCCTAATCCACCATCAACAACTGACTCTGAAGAATTGCAACTGAGGAGATTGGATCTTGAATGTCAAAAGATTGATTTAGAACTTCAAAAAGAGAGGCGCAAAGAATTGCAGCTTCAACTTCAATTGAAGAGGCTCCACACTCAGAATGACAGGGCTGCAATGCCCACAAATTCACCAGCAGGTCAAATTTCAGCATGAGATCTGAACTTGAGGTCCTGAATGCAATATAACCTCTATGACCTGGATAGCTGCGTTGGCAAGGCGATCAGCCAGTTCAAACAGGATACTAAATATGCCACCAAGCTGAATGCTCTGGTCAGATCTTTGAATTACCTCTCCTGGCATGCAAATATGAAGGCCAAGCTAATTGACACTCAATGCTGGGTTATATTGGAGGACAAGCAAGTCAAAAGCCCTGATGAGGACCCCAAATGAGCTCCTTTTTGGGAGGCCAAAAATCACTGGCTTTACACATTCATTTTGAATGCATTGGCAGCCAGCATTAGGCCCTGTTTTAATAAGTATGATGAGGGCAGGATCACTTATTCCCTTTGACACACAGTTGAGAAGAAGTTCTCCATCTCAAGAACACAGCTCTGCAGGGAAGCAGTCCTGGCATTTACATCAATGAGTGATGTTCAAGTCACTGATGTACACATGTTTTTCAATAAGTTCAATGATGTTACTATGAAATTGGAAATACTCAATATCTTACTGTCAAATGACATGGTATTCCATGTGTTCTATTCTGCACTTCCCAATATATGGTGAAACTACATGCAAAAGAAAATTGAGGAGGTACAAGAGTCCAAATCAAAGTCTGTCATGTTGGATGTTCATTCAACCATGGAGGAAATACACTCTTGATTGAATCCTCTCAAAGAGATCAAGAAGCTCACCCAGGCAGCTAATTCTTCAGCCAATGTGGCTCAGGCTGAAAACGCGGCTGCAGGTTCCAATAATAGCAACAATGTTCAAAATAATTCAGCCTGTGGGGGCTGACCCAGGGGACGCAGAGGCTATTGAATGGATGAACATTCAAAGTCTGACCTCCCAATCTGCTCAGAATGCAAGCATCATCATGGTGAGCTCTGCTGGGCAGTCAATCCAGATAGCACTCCTGAAGAATGGAGGACCATCAACACAGTGAGAATAGAGAAATATAACAATAAGAAGAGTAGTGAGAGCAAGAAGGCCCTATCAACTGCAAATGACAGCTCTGAGATGTTCCAAATGACAAATCTAGTGCAGGTCATTGAGATGCCTGCATACTCTGCTGAACCAATCATCAACCCACTCACCATATGGAATAGTGAGGCTGGATGTCATATTGTGTGTGATCAATCACAATTTTCCCAAATAACAGAGGTTAGCGGCCCTATGATTCAAGTGGCCAATAAGGCTATCTTGAAGGTTCAAGGAATCAGGGTCACCTCCATCCCAGTCAGGGAAAGATTAATTGAATTTGACCACATCTATTTGATGCCAGACTTATTCACCAACCTCATATCTGCTGGTCTATTGGAGCACCAGAGCTATATTCATCATGATCTGCAGGTGGATGCTGGAAATTACTTTGAGATAATAACATCTACAGGAAATGACATCTTCTATGTGATTTTGAATTCCAATAATATATATGTTCTATCTGACACTCCTCCTATGTTCAGGGGTATTATGAATGATCTGGAGCTTGGACCACTGGCATACTTGATGATTCTGAAGCCCAGGGCAATTTCAACAGATTATGATCTGAACACTGCATCACTGAGTCTTTTCAACTGCAATGATGTGGAGCAGCTGATTAACCTGAAGGATTCAGATACTGATATCTTCATTTTATCCTCATCAACCTGCTTACCCATCATTATGCTGAAGCAGCTACTGATTGATGAGTGGCACTAGTGATTGAGTCATATTGATGAGAAGAATCTAATTAAAATGTCATGAGAGTCCTGTTTCAGAATTGCCATCATCAGCTCAAAGAAGCTCTCATTCTGTGTCACATGCATTAAAGCCAAGCATAAATGTGCAAGTTATAAAAATGCTACTCTACACTGTGCCACTCACAAAGGTCTTAAGATCTGGGTGGACCTATTCAGGGGTGGAGAAATGCTTGGTAATGAAGAAGATACACCATCCTATGTGAGTAAGAAGCTCACAATAATGATCACTGATGATGCCACACAAATGTGGTGGACCTTTCTATTGGAGTGCTGCAATGAGGCTCTAAAATATATATGAATCTTCAATCAATTTATGAAGAATCTGCTCAATTGTAGTGTTGCAATTATTCACTCTGACTGTGATGAGTTGAATTCAAACTCAGCAGTCATCTATATGATGAGTGAGGGTATTAAATGGGAGTCAACCCTGTCTCATACTCCACAGCAAGATGGTGTGTCCAAACATTCTATTGGCCTGATTATTGAAAAAGTCCAAATGTTATTAATAGATTTATCCGCCCCCCCCCAGATGTGGGATGAGGTGGTAATTGCAGTGACTGAAATGCTTAATCTTATGCCAACATCAGCCAAGCTCTATAATGGTGTAGAGGATCTGGATCTGAAGTCAATTACCTCCTATGAAGCTTGGCTCAGGGCCCTGCCCTCCACATGTGGAATTCACTGATGGGGATGCAAGGCTTATTTAAAAATAGTGCTCAAGCTGAATATGAAGATGGCCTTGTGATCACAGGAGCTTATATTTACAGACTATGATGGTTTTACTAATTATAGATTGGTCAATCCTTCTAACAGTCATCTTTACACATCAAAAGACATGATATTTCAAGAAGATCTTCATTTGGTGAATCCTTTGACCCTGTCTGAGCAAGGTGTCAAGAATCTGTCTTCTGCTGCCTGTGTGACTGTAGTTGCAATCCCCTCCACCCAACATAATTTATCAACAGATGATTTCATGGTGAATGAGGAGTCTCTACCTGCCCCCCCAGTATTTCTATACTCTACAAATAATTGATGGATAGACTATGAGATTACTGCATGGATTTCAACATTTTTGATGCAGAACACTACTGCCCTCTCAGAGTCCACTTTAGAGATGAAAGATTCTCCAATGCTCACTGAGAATATTACTTCAGTGAGGGAGGCCTCAGTGAGGGATTTCACTGACAATTCAACTGACATCCCTGCAGACTCTGAGATCACTGACTTGCCAGTTCTGAAGAACCTCACCCAGACTCAGGCATCTGCAGATTGAAAATATTACTTTCATACCTGTGTTAAGGAGATTAACCACCTCAAGCAGATTAGTGCATGGCAGCTAGTTGAAAGGACCTCAGATATGATGATTCTACATGGCCAATGAGTGTTTGACAAAAAGATTAATAATGCAGGTAGAATTGATCAATATAAGGCCTGCTGGGTAGTCTGCAGCAATTATCAAGAAAAGAATGTCAACTATTCAAAGACATTTGCACCAGTTATATTGGCTTTCACCTACTGAGCACTTATGACAATCTCAGTATCCTGAGGATGGCATGTTCTGCAGATTGACATGATTACAGCATTCTTAAATGCCCAGCTTTCCACCAATGAACATATATATATGCATCAACCTGCTGGGTTCCGTGAGGGATGTGACAATCTGATATGTGAATTGATGCAGAGACTATATGATCTGAAGCAAGCAGCACTATTATGATATGAGAAGCTGTGAAAAATGCTATTGGAAACAGACTTCCATGTCAGTTCTCATGATGTCAGTTTTTTCATAAATGATGTCTGCAAGGTCTATATAATCACCTATGTGGATGATGTTCACCTATACAGTCTGAATATATTGAATATTGAGTGAACAAAAGCCCAGATCACCACTAATTATGAGATCAAGAATGTGAGTGATTCAAACCAGTATTTGAATATGAAGATTGATCAGGATGCTGAATCATTATCACTGTCCCAGCCACTGTTCATAAAGAACCTGCTTGAGAAATTCTCAATGAATGACTGCCATCCAACATCTTCTCCTATGAAGAAGAATGTTGATTTCATGAGTGATAATGAAGAACCAGTTGCTTATACAGCAGAATTTACATTATGTTCCTATCAATCAGGGGTTGACTCTCTGCAATATCTTGCTGCCAACACACACTCTGATATAAGCTTTGCTGCTGGCTTCCTAGAGAGATTCAGCTCCTGCTCTACCTCAAAGAATTGAGCAGCATTCAAGTGAATTCTTAGATATCTACAAGGCATGCCTGACATAGGTGTGTCCTACCGAAAAGATGCGGATATAGAACCTGTGGTGTTCACTGATGCTGATTGGGCAGGCCATGATCTGGGTTCCCACTCCATCACTGGATATGTCATTTATATGGCAGGGGGTCCTGTTGCTTGGCAAAGCAGCAAGCAGACAGGCATTTCAAAATCATCTACTGAGGCCAAATATATCACATCCTCAGAGGCTGTCTATGAGCTTGTCTGCCTCTGGGAATTGCTGGAGGATGCCAGCTTCATACCATCCCAGCTCAATAATCTTGATGATAATGATGGCCCGATCAAATCACCAGTCAATAAGCTGGCATATATGATTCAGGCAGATAATAAATCAGCAATTGAACTGGCCAAAAGTGAGGCTATTCTGCACTGTTCTAAGCATATAGAGGTCTGCTTCCATACTCTTCGGGATCTTGTCCGCAAGAATGAGATCTCAATTGATTATGTCCTGTCCACTGAGAACGCGGCAGACAGGCTGACCAAGCTGCTTGGGGTGACTAGATATGCCCTATGGCAGCAGATATTAGAAGACGCGGTAAGCAGGCGGAAATGATTATATGGAGGAAATGACTGGTTTTTCAACAATATGGGTTTTCCAGTCAAATTATGCACTGATACCTAGCTACAGGCTATTTTTTGAATGTAATCTCGCGTACAGTTACATCGGTGAGTGGGGGTGTCAGGCCTATCCGCCTTCTTACGTAATCCGCACCGTATATAACTTCCGCGTAGCTAGCGATCGCCTCATAATCAACCAAGCAATCTATCCTTGACAGTATATTCTTGAGAATATTAGTAGAATACTTAGTAGAATACTTATTCATATTCAATCTAATTACATCTGTGATACATCTGGCTTAACATCCTCACTGTTCTCATCAGAGATATCAGGCTTGATATCTTCACTATTCTCACTATTCTCATCATAGATTTTCATTTCCATCACATTATCAAAATTCA